CTGGGGACCATTACATCAATTGGCATTATATCAATTAGGCAAAAAGAGGCCAGTGATGTGAAAATAGTCAATAGCACGGTGTTATAGCATGACGGTTACGCCACCTCTGAAAACGAGGTTGGACAGCTACGTTCACTGATTTATCCAATAAAATGGCCGCGGTGGAAGAGAAAACTAAGGTTGGCGCATTATTTTCTACTTCTGTGTATCAATGAAAGGATGAACGATTTATGCAAGAATTGCATTCGGTGATACTTTCAGTAATGTATATTTTGAACGTAGCCTTTGCAAATTGATGCCCGGGGATAACATGAAATAAGAGAAAAAGTGTCGAGTTTGAAATTCAAAACTACACAAAAATTTAGTAATTTGTTTATTTTTGTTTTTGTTGTTAGGGCATGGTCTACATTGCTTAAAAACCTTGTGGTATATAGATGTAACCTACATACGATCATACAAAGCCAATTGTGCATTGGAAACCACCTAATATGTTCTACTCAAGCCATAGTAATGTATTTTGAATTTGCAGTAGTTATACACAGTTTACTTATACTTACAGTTAATATTTTGAGTGGCTCATGTACTGAGACAACACGAGAATGGATCAAAACTTATAAACTTTGATATCTTAGTCGGTAGGTTTACAGATTATATTCTGTTTCTTGTAGACCTGGCAGATTTGACCCAGTCTTTATAACCATCCATATATACGTCACCGAATGGAACTAGTTTAAAAGGAAATCTTATCTGTGAATATTGTCTACAGGCGAGAAAGAGGACATGCTGCCTTTCCCATCCGCCATTTTTTGTTATTGTTACCGCAAAATTTTGCAAATTGCCTTGACGTAACCGTCATGCTATAACACCGTGAATAGGGGACCATAAGTTTACACATTCCATGTGTACGTTCATCAAAATAGTGCGATCTTAACCTCCCTAATAACTGAAATTGTTGACTCAACCAATAGAATCATTCTATGTTTGTTTATATTTGTTCACATTAATATGGAAGAAAATCGGACATTTTGCTAAAAAGATGTTATTGTAAATCTTAGAAATAATGATAAAGGTAGTATACACCACACACTCAATGGTATTGATTGTGGTTTTCAGAGACTCTCAATAGGGACTTTAAGCTTGCAATGTTTTTCACAACCTAAATGTGAATGGAAAATATTTAGCGATGCATTTGTATGGGCGATTGGTCATAGGTTGGCGTTTCGATTTTATATGCAAGCTTAATCTCCCTAATGTTATCATTAAGGTAAGAGTGTATGTTACTCATAACATTTTCTTAGGATAACATTTCTTGAATTGATGAATATGCAAAAATTATTCTTAGCATATCATCCTTCATTTCATTATTTGAATAATCAATCTGGAGATAAACTCAAATAAGGAAGTGTGTTATAACACATCATCATATAGAAACATGTTCAATGTTTTTTCAGAAGCTGGATCAAAATATTTGTCTTACTAAAATTATTGGCAAAGGTATGATGTACTAAATTCTTGTACTGTATTTATGATTTTAATAGCACTGTACCTCGTGAATCATTACTGATAAACAAGATACAGAAAACCTGTTCAAAGTAAATGCTATAATAAGGCATCATAGAAATTATCATAGAGGTATTTAGAATTTCTTAGCAACTTACACACACACACAGGTTTAACTGCACTCAAACATTAAACAGTCAACATGACAGGTATTCAGAATTTTTTGGGAAATGCTGCGGTTATGCTCCATTGATTAAACAGGGGATCAAACAGCAGGGGATCAAACAAGTCCAACCATTCATTTATGAAAACATTTTGAACTAACTTTATGGCACACTAATGACATCTTATATGAGTGTGCTGTACTAAAAGCATAGCCCCATTGGATCCCCTTATAGTGGATTATGATAATCCTAATCCACGAGGAGTTCCTTATATATTTTAAGTGATGAAAAATGTGTTCAAGTACAATGTAACTTTGCATGAAAATTGTAAAAGAAAATGAGGGACGATGGTGAAAATGACGATTGTATTTTGAAAAAAAGCTTGTTGATGGGTGGATTAAACATGGCTTATGAGATAATCCAATTGATCTTGAAACCATTCTTTGAATTTTTCTTAAAGATTATACATTGGCCTTTCATATGCATTCATTTTTGTACAGCCAGAAACTACTAGAAAAAAATTATTTACTGTCAAAAATCTGTTGCGATACTTTCCCTCGCTCTTTGGTGTTAGGGAGATGTGTACTTTTTGGAATCTTTATGCAGCCGTCTTTATATGTCACATGTTATTTCCAGGAATACATAACTCATTTAATATACGATGTACATCTTTCACATTTGCACAAATAGTGCACCGAGATACCCAGAAAAGAAATAATATTTCATATGCCTCCAATTGCAACAGTTGTTCCTGGCACAATCATGAGTATGTTATTAACTTGCACAAGGATCTTGGAGTTGTACTTTTAGCTATAATGCATCGTATCATCATGTAAGCAAGATGCTGATTGGTTCATAATTCACGGCGCTAAAATGAACTCGACGGGCGTATAGATGTTTTTCAACTGGTGTTAGATACTGTCTTGACGCCCGCTATTGAACATTTTAACGCCGTTAGTTTACGCCTGTATTTGTTTTAACGCGTATAGAATTTACTTCTTAACGGGCGTAATTAACGCTTTGACGGGCGTAATTAATGCCTACACAGGCGTAATTAACGCCTACACGGGCGTAAATTACGTCTGCACGGGCGTAATTTCACGTCTACACGGGCGTAATTAACGCCTACACACCCGTAAACAACGCATGTATTCTTTATACTAATAGGCCAACCATATGTGTAGGCGTAAATTACGCCCGTGAAGAAGTAAATTCTACGGGCGTTCAGAATACATTTACAGGCGTGAACTTACGGCGTTAAAATTATAAATTACGGGCGTTAAGACTGTTATTTTACACGCGCTGAGAAACATCTTCACGCCCGTCGAGTTTATTTTTAGCGCCGTAAATTATGAACCAATCAGAACCTTACTTACATAGTGATTTATCCTTGCTAAAAGAGCAACTCCGAGATCCTTGCGCAAGTAAATAACAATCAGAAGCCTGCTTACATTTTAGTGTGTTGCATTGTGATTCAAGGTTGAACTAGATTTAACCAAAGAAGTGTTCAATTTTTAGAGCAAATTATACTTAAAAGGCAAATTGAAGAGACATGTACTGTGTTGGCAGTTATCAACACCCATTGTAGAAACGACAAAATTGCAGAATATATTGAGAAGGTATACATGTTTGGTTTCTAAATACGATGATTTTTGGATAATTCTCAAATCTAGGCGTCGGCTTCAGAGGTAGGGACTTATTAAGCTCACACGCATTGCAGCTTACAGTCTCACTATACAGTCAGATCGCTAATGTATCCCTCTAAAGGATGTGTTCAGATACTAGAATTATAGTTTCTGATCAACTGCAAATTGACTCTAGACTAAAGCTATATCCTGCAAATCTGGCATTTTTTGAAAATGTACTGATAATGGAGGAAATAAAGGATCATATCATATCATACCTAGCCAACATATGTTCAAATTTGGTGTAAGGGAGATGTGTACTTTTTGGAATCTTTATGCAGCCGTCTTTATAGTGATCACATGTTATTTCCAGGAATACATAACTCATTTAATAAATGATCTACATCTTTCGCATTTGCACAAATAGTGCACCGAGATACCCAGAAAAGAAATCTTCAATTGCATCACAGTTGTTCCTGGCACAATCATGAGTATGTTATTAACTTGCACAAGGATCTTGGAGTTGCACTTTTAGCTAAAATGCATTGTATCATCATGTAAGCAAGATGCTGATTGGTTCATTATTATCGGCGCTAAAATGAACTCGACGGGCGTATAGATGTTTTTCAACGGGTGTTAGATAATGTCTTGACGCCCGCTATTGAACATTTTAACGCCGTTAGTTTACGCCTGTATTTGTTTTAACGCCTATAGAATTCACTTCTTAACGGGCGTAATTAACGCCTTCACGGGCGTAATTAACGCCTACACGGGCGTAAATTACGTCTGCACGGGCGTAATTTCACGTCTACACGGGCGTAATTAACGCCTACACACCTGTAAACAACACGTGCATACATAGAGTAGGATGGCAAACCATAAAAGATAAGCTTTCCAATCATGTGCTGTATATGTGACAAGTTATTTCAAATCATAAAAACGTACGTAAATTTTTTTGTCATCTATTACGTAAGTTCAATACATTACATTTAATTTCACACTTCCTTGAACGTTTAATTCGATGCTGGTATGAAGAAGATAAGAGAGGACGTCCGATGTAAACTTCCCGATGATGTGCTGTATTCTGTATCTAGCTATTTCATATCGTAAACATGGTAAAAACTGAACGTAATGTTGTTAGTCTGCGAAAATATTTCGTCATTTATTTTCTAAGGCTAATGCGTTACACTTTCTCATTTTCTAATGATTCAAAGTAAGTCTGATAACAATTTAAGTTCCGAACAAATTGGAAAAATAACATTCCTACAATCATCGTCATTTTTTCCGGGCTGCAAAAAATGTTTTTTCAAGTTATGGGCTAACATTCCTACTTCTCAGGAGTTAAAATCTGACCTTAGATTCGAGATGTGACCTTTTGTTGACCTTCAGTGACTATCAAAGACTTTGTCAATTTCTGGGAACTTTCTCATGTATAAAGTCAATGGCAGGTTTTGTGATTGAAAAATGTTTTAAAGTAACCAAGTGATTGAGTAATTGAGTAACTCATGTATTTTGGACAAAAATCGTTTTTTCTGTACAAAGTTAATCCTTTCCAAACATGATGTGGCTCCAGTTCATTGTGTGAGCACAGGGCCGTGGGTCCTTCATTTCTATCTGATAGAAATAGTTTGCTTTACCTGTACAGTTGCCTTAACTCAAACATGATGAAAATGATATTTCAATCTATTCCATTTGGCTCTTCCACACGCAGGTTGTTCATCGTCCATCCTGATACGCAGCAATACTTCCGATTCCGAAATGTCTCCGTGGATAATTTAGACGAGGACGCAATATTCCAAAGTCATGCATCAAAAGTAAGGTATTTTACAACTGTTAACACCAATTCTGCTCATACTGTTACAGTTTAGCCACGGTTTCCTCAAATCCATACATACAATCCATCCCCTTATATTAGCAGACAAGTATAGTATGTAACGGACACATGTTCACTTTACTTAGAGAGTTATACCAGGATTTACAATTGATAAGGCTGAATTTCTTAATGTGCCATGCCACTGAATAATTTGCAAACATTCTAAGAAACTTACCTACTCTCGCTGGTGTTCCAACGAGTCTCGAATTTTATCATATAGTTGTTCATTGATTTCGTAGGTAGTGTGTGCTGTGGACGCTATTGTGAATGGATTAGACAAGTCTGATGATATTGTTGACATACTGCTAAAGACTGGACAAGACCATGCTGGAAGAGGTGTACAGCCATATAACTACACGGTGATGCACTCTTTTGAAAATGGGGTCCAGGTATTCTTCTTGAATACCATGGAGATATGGATAATACGTAGATACTTCAAATGGAACAACTTGCCCCATACAACTTGGGTTTTTGCTTTTGAGATATACAGTAGGGTGGTCCAAAATATGGCGAAAAACCAACTTTCTTTCGGATCATCTTCCTCATTTGACTTACTGTTGTCCATGACCTAAAACACCTGCACACCAAATTTTGAGACCCAAATCCCATGGGAAATTTACCCACGCTTCGACTGAAAGATTCAGTTATTTCATGATTTTTTGCTATTTTCGATAAATTGCCATCTCCTTTTTCCTGGTGTAAAATGTTTCTATTTTTTCATAATAAACATTTTTGTAGGACCCTTTATTACTTAATAATACTAGGAGCCCAAACACCAAATTTTGAGACCCAAATCCCATGTGAAATTTACCCATGCTTTGACTGAAAAATTGTGATTTTCACAGTTTTGTCCGATTTTCAATAGATTACTGTCTCCATTTTCCTGGTATAATATGTTTCTATTTTTTCATAATAAATATTTTTGGATGACTCTTTATTACTTCATAATACTAGGAACCCATACACCAAATTTTGAGACCCAAATCCTATGGGAAATTTACCCATGGTTTGACTGAAAAATTGTGATTTTCACATTTTTTCCGATTTTCAATAAATTGCTGTCTCCATTTTCCTGGTATGATATGTTTTTATAATAAACATTTTTGAGGACTCTTTATTACTTCATAATACTAAAAACCCATACACCAAATATCCACCAAATTTTGAGACCCAAATCCAATGATAACGTTACCCATGCTTTGACTGAAAACTGGTGCTTATGATAGCTGTTTTAGGGGCATAATATGTTAATAAACATTATGGTAATTCCTTCTTAATCCAAAGAAACACCTAAATATCAAGACTTTAAGTCTTATTGAAAGGCGACAAATTCAGTAGTTTGGGGAAATTTAGGATCTTTTACTTGTACATTTATATACTGTGATTAATATTAAGAAGTGATGACTCGACAGCAACTCAAATGCCTTGAAGATTTGGTTTGTTGGTTTCAGTAGGGATACATCACAGGACTTTGTTTGGATTCGTGTGAGATGTCATATTCTTTCTCACATCTTTGCAGGGTAAGGTCAAATATCAAATCTGATTTTCTTTGGAGAAATGATTTTTTGATTGATCAATGTATCAATGGCATGGTCTCTGTTGTAACCAGTAAGCCTGTATCAAATCTTCAAGGGATTCGAGCTTCCACTGAGCTTTGTCATTTCTCTGAAAATGTTCATGCCCTGAAAGTACACAATGTAGAAGATAGGAAGAGCAATGAGAAACACTTAAGGTAATTCTGTATGTTCAGAAATTTTAAGTGGAGTCCAATGTTATTTCTTGAACTCATTTCATACTTGGTCAGCTCTTTCAATTTTACACTGAGTTCAAATATGTATTTAGATTATTAGTTGATGGTTAGTAATTTTCTATAATGTACTATGTGCTATGTTTATACACTGTTTGTGCATCTGAATGGAATGAGTTATGTGTTCCTGAAAAAACACGGGGCTCCAGTTAGGAAGCCATTAAAACTGAAAATAAGGAATTACCTTAAAGTACTATACAACCATCTTTCACGATGTAACGTATGTAAGGCCAAACAGGATAATTAAGACAACGTGTAATACAATTTATTACAAATTGCACATCACACAACAGTGATATGGTGCTCTAAACGACAAAAATCAAAAGTATATGATCAAAGCAAACGTGAATTTCCCATGGGGTTCAGGTCTAAACATTTGGTACATATTAAATGTATGGGTTCCTAGTATTAAGAACGTATTAATGTCCTCCTAAAATGTTTAAAAACTAAATATAAGATTAATGTTGATCTATTGAAAATAGGAGAAAATTCGCAGAAAATCACAAATTTTTGGTTGAAGCATGAATTAATTTCTCATGGGGCCAGGGTCTCAAAATTTGGTGCATATTTGGGGTATAGGTTCCTCGTATTATGAAGTAATAAAGAGTCCTCCCAAAATATTTTTTATAAAAGATAGAAACATATAATACCAGGAAAATAGAGATGTATTGTATTGTGTATGAAATAACCCAATTTTTCAGTCGAAGCGTGGGTAAATTTCCCATGGGATTTGGGTCTCAAAATTTGATGTATGGGTTCCTAAGTATTATGAAGTAATATAGAGTCATCCAAAAATATTTATTATGAAAAGACATCTACCATTTTATACCAGGCAAATGGAGATGGCAATTTACCGAAAATAGCAAAAAATCATGAAATAACCGAATTTTTCAGTCGAAGCGTGGGTAAATTTCCCATGGGATTTTGGGTCTCAACATTTGGTGTATGGGTTCCTAGTATTATGAAGTAATAAAGAGTCCTACAAAAATGTTTATTATGAAAAAATAGAAACATATTATACCAGGAAAAGGGAGATGACAATTTATCGAAAATAGCAAAAAATCATGAAATAACTGAATTTTCAGTCGAAGCGTGGGTAAATTTCCCATGTGATTTGGGTCTTAAAATTTGGTGTGCAGGTGTTTTAGGTCATGGACAACAGTAAGTGAAATGAGGAAGATGATCTGAAACAAAGTTGGTTTTTCGCCATATTTTGGACCACCCTAATATACAGGGTCGATTTATCCTATGACAGGTTTACACATAGAGTTTGCTTTTCTAGTTAGGTTTCTTTACAGTTTTTGGTCCTCTCCCTTTGGTACCTGTGCTTAGATATATCGGGTGTCCCAAAAAGCGAATCGCTTTTTGACAAGCATTTTTCCAGCAATTGATCACTCAAAAATTTCTGTAAAGTAGCCTAAGGGACGGGTACTTTTTGTAATCGGTTTTATATAATGTGAAAATTGACAAATTCAAAATTGCACGTCAAAAAATCCAATATCAGAGCTGCGCAAAGAGACCTTCATAGCATTTGTACCTGCAATTAGGTAATAGCAATCAGATTTAGTCAATCAATCAGTTTTAGTCTCAAAAACAGCTTGCCTGTGTGTCAGGTTTATTGATTTGTCTCATTGTTCTCTATTTCACAAGTACGTTCTGTTCAGAATTTCATTTTGGAGGGATTAACAATGCCTTTAGTGATAAGCGATGAGGCCACTATTGAAAACTGTTTCATGGTGAAAGGTTTGAGTGGAAGATGAATCGTAAACTGGTAATGGATTGAGGTTACAACTCTCGTTGAGTTGGAGTCTTTGGGCAAAAATGCACTACATCAAGTATGCATTTAAGGATGGAATAATTATGTCATGGGAGATGGTATCGATGGAAAAACACACAATAGCATTTCTGCTTTTTAACTTAGAGCAAGGAGAGCTGGCTTCCAGAGTGCAACATTGATATTCTGTCCCATTTATGTAGATGTCGTGATTCAAAATTCGAATTCAACGTGCCACCATTTTGTTCACTACAACATTTGAATCGTGAATTTTGGTCTTAATTCCAAACGAAAAATACCAAAACTCACAAGAAATGATCGAGATATTGGTTGGAAAATATCGAGTTTCGAACCTGAGAGCCAATCTTCCTTGACTAATTAGAGGAACCTAGAAAATTATTTTTTATCATTTGTATCCTCCAACTTACTTGTTGAATTAACGTTGTTGATATGCCAGAAAGGGCCGTTAGGCGTTACGTTTTAAATGTCGGAAAACAAAAAAAATCAGACAAAATATTGCAGTGAATTAATTTTAGCTGTCCAATTCTGCATTCTCCAATACGTTACGATTTCAGCTTTGCTCCAGTACGATGTCAAATAATTATTTTGAGAAATGAAACTAATGCAATGTAGTATTTGAATGATTGTTAGTTTCTTAGTGAATTAATGTGTTAAGCATGTATGATGTATTGGAGGTCAAAAATCATATGGACATAATAAAACGTATTCATTTTTATGAAATACTTTATTAACAAGTTGGGAATTATCGGAGCACATTACATCATTTGTTATGTTGTCTGCATTTATATTAGCAAATCTTGATGTTTGTCTTAATAATCATCAATAAAGTTGTTTTTAAGAATAAACAAGCAATATTTTTTAGTATATATCGCATGGTCATGATAACCAGTTGTCGGTCATTTTGAGTTTCTGTCCACAAATCTTGTTTGAACATATTTTCAAAGTTGATAAACAATTGTATGTACTTTTACTTGTAAATTTCACATATGACATCACAATTTTGAATATTTAATGACGTGAATCAAGATTATATCTACTCGCATCTAGTCTATTACAATGGCAACGATCTGTATGGCTTAATTGACACACTTTTCAAATATGTCATTGTGAAATAGGGGAGATCGTGGCAAAACATGTCGCTCAATTTTTCTTTTTTGAAATCGGTGTCAAATCAGTTATACAGGTCGTTGCCAGGGTAATATGCAGGAGTAGAAACAAGCGTCCCGTTTTGCCACGATCTCCTCTATTTAACGTTGATTTTTTGAATTGGTGCCTGCAGATAATTGCATCAGCTATTCATGTCGTCGCAGGATTATTTGCCAGAGAAACATCGAGCGTTCCGTGTAATATATTTAAATATGTGCAAAATCAGCTATACAGGGTAATTTACTTAAGAAAATCTATTTAGGATCACCACTTTTTGGGGACATGTTGCATACGTCAACTCTCTGCGTTTCCAGCCAAACCTTTTGAAGGATCAATTTCAAAAGACCACGTGCAGTATGGCAAGTGATTTTAGACGGTCATATCTTTCACCATGAGTACTTTCTGGGCATAAATACATAAATACAATATTTTTCAGATAGTTGGATTGATATTTTACTATCATGGGGACTTCACTTAAAAGAAAACATATTGTTTTAATAAAAGCCACTGTATTTATGGCCAGGAAGTACTCATGGTGAAAGATATGACTGTCTTAAATCACTTGCCATACTGCACGTGGTCTTTTAAGGGATGATCCTTTTTATGAAAATCTCAAACTGATTAGCTTTGGGCATTCTGGTAAATTCTGGTAAGGCGGTCATTTTGGATTTTTTCTTAAATCTTGTATCTTCAACTGATTAGTGTTGGGCATTCAGGATTAAAATCTATATACAGGGTGATCATAAAGTAAGATCAAAAGTGCTCAAGATTACTTTTGTAAATATTAATGAATCTGGCTCATTTTCTCACAGAATGTTGATCTACTAATTATACATACATAAAATAAATGTCAACATGTTACATTAAATATTGTGCGTTCTATGGTTACCTTGGCAACCCATTTCGAGTGTACTCAGAGCAGTCAAAAGAGAAAGAATATGGTGTGATGTTTTCTTTCTTAATAGTTTTATACTTTGGGAAAACCACCATATTTTGAGAAAGAATATTTCTGAGGTCCCCGTAGAAATCAACTGGCTCAACAAGATTGAATCATTATTTGTCAATGTTTCCCGATCACTTTTCATTTGATATAACATCCTAGCACTATGAATAACATTTATAAATTGTCCTGAAGTAAATAAAATGAAAAAAGTATTCTTTATCAACAGAAATTTAAAATTCACCGTGCGGATGCCGTGGGAAATGTGACTGCAAAAGTATGAGAGCGCAGAAATTCTACGGCGAGCGTAGAAAAGCTACTGGCCGCAGAAATGATAGACCGCACGGCGGCCGTGGGAAATGTGACTGGGGTGTAATGCGAGGATTGATACTCAATACTAGATACATTTAATATATCTTGGTCACATGATATTTCACTGCTTTCAATAAATATTGCTTTTTTCTTTTCGATTATCATTCACATACAATCATTTTTCTTTACTCCAGGAATTCAAGGCAGTAATGGAATGTTTCCTGGTTGAACGACTTGGTACTCTCTTAACCGACTTTGATAGGCGATGCTGGGAGAAGCTACTCGACTTCATTGTCCAGGGTATCTTAACTGGCCACAAGATGGCGTTTCGGGACAATAATAACGTAATTAATAATGAACAGCAGGTGGTTTATTAAACGTTAAGAAATTCTGAGTCCTTTGTGTATTCCACGTACGGTACTGTCTCATTTAACATTCTGTTTTTCTAACTGTTAACATTCATTTATATGATGTGCTTGTGCTTATCTCAGACAAATTAATCCACGAACGGTGCACTTGCTGAATATATGCGCGTGGAGGACTGAGTAGTATGAAATCGTCTGAAATCATATTGATTTGAACTCAAATTATTTATTGTCAAGTTGTCATCGTATTTGTTTATTACTTCTCGTATTTCTTTAACGGACCTTAATAAAGTAAAATAAAATAAATTATCGTGAAGATGGTTTAGAAAATTCCATTTTCAACCAACGTTTAACGAGGCGTATAGCCTTTTTACTTTTTCGTGAAGCCACTCAGTAAAATTGCGATTTCTCTACAACCTGATGTCCAACCATGGTTATTCAAATATCTGTTATATGTGTTACTGACACGTTTGGGCGTCCAGAAATGACAACGTCTACCCAAAGTTTGCACGCAAAATTGACGTAATTCATGACTGAAATCGGGAAGACAAAATTTGAGATTCACAAACAAAATTGCTTGTGAAAACTTTTTACAAAAGTGTTCCAGAGACTATAATCTACTTGGCTAAGGTTTTAATTGAAGATTCATTGCCTTATTAAGCAGGTAGAGGGGCATACAGAACACGGAAGCAAATGCTATGTTGATATGTATTTCAGTTTGAACATGTCATTGCATTTCACGTAGGCCAGTGTTTTATATGGGGATTATAATATGTACTTGTTTACATGAACGTAAATCATTACATGAAATCTGCAGTCTTCCGGGTTTTATCTGGAGTTTGTATTGTCTTATTGAGGCTTTTCGACATTAAAATAAACCTTAACTAAATGGATTTGTGTCTCGGGAACATTTTTGTAAATAGTTATTACAAACAATTCTGAAAGAATATCACACATTTTTGTCTTCTCGATTTCAGTCATGAGGTACGTCAATTTCGCAAACATTGGTTAGACGTTGTCATTACCAGATGCCCAAACGTGTCAGGAACACATAAATACTCAAATGATGTTGATTGGACATCAGGGTGCAGAGAAATCGTAATTTTACTGAGTGGCTTCACGAAAAATAAGCAGCATTATAGGCCACCTTAAAACTGAAACGTCATTTGTACAGGAACGTTGAGTATCCCACTATTCTATCAAGGCTCTGATGATGTACAGGAACGTCGTTTGAGTATCCCACTATTCTATCAAGGTTCTGATGATGTACAGGAATGTCGTTTGAGTATCCCACTATCCTATCAAGGCTCTCATGATGAACAGGAACATCGTTTGAGTATACCACTATTCTATCGAGGCTCTGATGATGTACAGGAATGTCGTTTGAGTATCCCACTATTCTACCGAGGCTCTCATGATGTACAGGAACGTCGTTTGAGTATCCCACTATTCTATCTAGGCTCTGATGATGTACAGGAACGTCGTTTGAGTATCCCACTATTCTATCAAGGTTCTGATGATGTACAGGAATGTCGTTTGAGTATCCCACTATCCTATCAAGGCTCTCATGATGAACAGGAACATCGTTTGAGTATACCACTATTTAATCGAGGCTCTGATGATGTACAGGAATGTCGTTTGAGTATACCACTATTCTATCGAGGCTCTGATGATGTACAGGAACGTCGTTTGAGTATCCCACTATTCTATCAAGGTTCTGATGATGTACAGGAATGTCGTTCGAGTATCCCACTATCCTATCAAGGCTCTCATGATGAACAGGAACATCGTTTGAGTATACCACTATTCTATCGAGGCTCTGATGATGTACAGGAACGTCGTTTGAGTATCCCACTATTCTATCAAGGTTCTGATGATGTACAGGAATGTCGTTTGAGTATCCCACTATCCTATCACGGCTCTCATGATGAACAGGAACAACGTTTGAGTATCCCCCTATTCTATCAAGGCTCTCATGATGTACAGGAATGTCGTTTGAGTATCCCACTATTCTATCAAGGCTCTCATGATGAACAGGAACATCGTTTGAGTATCCCACTATCCTATCAAGGCTCTCATGATGTACAGGAATGTCGTTTGAGTATCCCACTATTCTATCAAGGCTCTCATGATGTACAGGAATATCGTTTGAGTATCCCACTATTCTATCAAGGCTCTCATGATGTACAGGAGATCTGCTGCCGATTGTCATCTCATTCCTTTTTCCTTGGACTTTTATTTAGGTTCCTTTTTTTCTAGCATATGGTTCGACTGTTCTAAAGATTCGAAAGTGAGGTTCACTTTAGGTGATTCAAACGAGACTAGTAATTGTGTGTAAAGTCTGTGCAGCTTTAAATCAAGTTTTGTATATTTTATGGTTTTAAGTCCATCATCAGGGTCTCTTATCACATGATAGCTGAAAATAAAAGTACATATTGATCTTGTATTTCACATATCAATGTTATAATATCATATTGTACAAGTACGTGATATTGCCAAAGATTTGTTGATCGATATTCAATATGTAAAGTTGTTTTACTTTACATACTCCAACTTTGCCATATGCATATTTCTTTCATACTCAATTATTTTAATTTAGAGATTTGAATAATGTTAGCAAATTATGAGTCATTTTCAAAGTCATTATAACCAAGTTCTAGGTATGGTAGGCATAGCAAATGATTAAAGACAGTCATATCTTGGATAATGCTTATATTGTGATCATAAAGACAACTTTTTTTTCATTAAAAGTATATGATTCCATTTACGGAAAGTAATCGGGATGTCGTTGCTCAAAAGTAAACGGATCATTAATTCACTTGTTGCCAACACTTTTTCAGTTTCTTGAGTTACGAATTATGCATGGTCAGTGAACAGTCTACCGGGAAATATTGTTTGTATGAAATGCGGAAATATTAAATAGCTATAAATTCAAATGCAGACGTATAATTGGAAAAAATAATTTGTCTTGTAAAGTTTAAGGAATTAATTGCAAAACTGAACAGGGAAAAACGTAAATGGACTCTCAATTTTTAATAATTCATCATTAGGGTTCTTTTAAAAGTCGCTTTGGGAACAAAATCCTTATTTGCACCCGTCCAGGTACATTATCTTGTGAAAGTACTACAAGTGTAAGAGCAATTTCCTTGGTATATTCGGTTCCGATTCATTAAGACAAAGACTATTTTAAAGTTTTTCCTAATTTAAATTCGAATATTTTATTAACTACAATACACTACAAGCCATTTTAGTTATTCAGTTATTATCATGTATGTAAAAATGATACCTTACACAAAGGATATTATTTAGACATGCGTTAAGTATAAATCTCATTGTAAGAAGATTGCTGACTGGGAAAATGCAAATTTCAACATTAATCTTTGAGAAATCAATAATTGTTAGCACAGATATCAGAAATGCCAACTATAAAACTCGAAATTCTGAATACCAGGATATTTGTTATTAAATTTACTTTCCGTTAATCAATATTATTACGGTCGTTCAAAATGTTTCATTAACGTTTCTCAAGAGAAGATATTTTATTATATTTACATGAAAAATAGTTTCAGCTTCCCCTTATGCATATTTTTTACTTTTAAATTAGAGCCACTGTGACGCCAGTAAAGAGGGGTGTTCGATGAGCTTATTCACCAGCTGTGGCCTTTTTCGCCCGGTGTAAATCTAAAATCCATCCCATCAATAATCGAAGAATGTCAAACGAACGGTTCAAGGAATGAGGATAGAATAGAATACTGTGTATTTGTTAATCACATGACATTGACCTCGAAGGTCGCTTGAGACTTACATACCCCAATAGGTTGAATTCAATGCTAGGAATTTTCTATATAAAATACTAATGATCTCTAGGCATTCTTGTTTTTGTAAAATATTCCCCGTAAGTGATCTACTGATCTAGTGGTGAATGTTACAGTGAATAATTAAACCAAAAATATTTCAAATCAATATAAGTGGATACCAGCTGCACTTTCAGTGATTCCGCTAGGGGTATTCCCATCCCTGGTCCTTCGGGCTTCGGGGAATACACCTTGCTCGTATCATTGAAAGATGAACAGGTATCACCCTATGCTTAGTGAGCGGACCTAATTTCAAGGGTGATGGTAAGACGAGGCATGGCGCCCAAAAACCAAAGAATATTAGTTCCATAATCTTTTAAGTCGTATTATTGCAGCATTAGGTGATGATATTGTGATATTTTATACTGTTTTAGAAGTGAAAGATGTTAAACTATGCATACTGTTTGTTTTACATCCAATAAAACGAATAGTTAAGATGAAACAGTCGTTTAAAGATACAATTTTAATTTACCGCAAGAAATTACAACCTAATATTGTCAATATGTCAATAATTCCTGATCGATGTCACATATTAAGATATATGTACCTAGATATGTTTTATTTTTTCATATATGCGAAATAAGGCGGTCTCTAGTTATGTACATCCAATACAAAATGAATGTTTACTATTCGGCGATCAGAATTTCGATGACGAGCGATGGCGATGTAATTTGCGAAGAAAGCATCAGTGCACCTAGTTACAGGCCAGGTTTGGGCGCCATGCATCGTCTTTACCATCACCCTTGAAATTAGGTCCGCTCACTAAGCATAGGGTGAACACCTCAATAGTATGACGTATTTGTTAAGTATGACTTGTTTGCCAATGTTCACTTTATTGCTAGGTGTCTTTCGAAGATTAAGTTAGGGATAAACCTTGAGTATTGTTTTTTAGAAGATATAATAGCCGAGGCCGCTATGCCAAGGCTATTAATTCTCATAAGAACCAATACAAATTTTTATCAAACTTAAACCCGACATAGAGTCTTATGAAAGCTAATGGCCAATGGTTCAAATTTTAGGAAAACTTGATTTATTTTTTACTGATTATTGTACAAATATTTAATTCTATTGAGCTGAATACCTGTGCATCTTTCACAAGTGATATTCTCTATGAAGCCCGGGGGCTAGTGGAATATCATCTTGTGAAAGATACACAGGTATTCACCGAAAATAGAATTAAGTATTTGTTTTATTACTCATTGTTGTATTCCTCACTCACATTCATGGAATAACAAACTATTGATGTCTAATTAATTATAACAATGTACTCACGGGTATATATAAAAATTAAAATTACACTGGACTAAGTATGATTCAACGGAAGACACGTGGCCTCTGTCGAACATCGCTTGTTATTTTTTAGTCACGTGTTGAACATGGACCAATTAGAGAGTGGGGAATATGACATAGTGATATAATAAAAGGTATTCGCGTTGAGAAGTGAGTGGATGTAATTAGTTCAGCTTCTAGGCACTCCATGTAACAGTTTAAAATTTGATTTCTTATTTTTACTCTTCAATTATTGAATGAGTGAATAGGGTATATTTATTTCAGTTTTAGTGTACTGCATGTGACAGTCAATCATCTTTTGTGCCACACTTGTTTTGGATAGCTTACCAAGTGTACATTCTTTAAGAACAATAGAAATAATGTACTTCTTAAACAACCGCACATTATGTTGTGTTGCTACCCAAGTAGGGTTTAAAGGGTGACGCATATCGTTTAGCAAATCGAACGCTCGTTTCTGGTGTTGCTCACCGTTTAGTATAAAAGGCCCGATCCCGGAATAATACTCAAGGGTTCACAGGTTCGATGTCGTTGTGTCAACACCTCTAACTGTTATATAGCATAAGTATATTATAGATCGTCACTTATAAAAGGGTGATTTTTATTTTGACAAACCAATTCCAAATTTATGGGTGAAGTTTCAGGATCTTCTATTTGTGTATAATAAGGAAAACTTGGCATCTAAATTTCCCCATAACGTAATAGCACACAGCTTGGCATATGAAACAAAGCAGTTCTAATACAAGGATTTATATTGGCTGTTGTACATGTACTGTTTGAACGCAATCACTCCATGGATAACGTTTTCAAAATCATTATAAACGGATTACTTTATCTCAAAGACAATTTCAATAAACTGGATTTTACAGAACTCCCCTTATTTCTTAAAAATGGACTGATCCAGTTGATTCGCCTGGAGCCGCCATATTGTTTTTATACGGGATGCTTATCGGAACCCTTTAATAGTATAACATGCCTGCCGATGTTTACATTCGGAGATTGTATAATATTACTTGCCTGCCGATGTTCACTTTATTGCTAGGTGCCATTTGGAGATTATATAATATTACTTGCCTGCCGATGTTCACTTTATTAATAGGTGCCATTCGGAGATTATATAATATTACTTGCCTGTCGATATTCACTTCATTAATAGGTGCCATTCGGAGATTATATAATATTACTTGCCTGCCGATGTTCACTTTATTAATAGGTGCCATTCGGAGATTATATAATATTACTTGCCTGCCGATATTCACTTCATTAATAGGTGCCATTCGGAGATTATATAATATTACTTGTCTGCCGATGTTCACTTTATTAATAGGTGCCATTTGGAGATTATATGATATTACTTGCCTGCCGATGTTCACTTTATTGCTAGGATCTCTTGCATGTCTTAACATAGTGTAGCTCAACTGGGTTCGTGTCGGTCTTACAATATCAAGGCTATGTTTTCTCACCCTAAAAAGAGACTATATGTTCAATCAGCGTATACTTATTTTAGAAAAAGCAACAATATTGTTTATCGGAAATGGTGGGAGTCTGCAAATGATTTATATTGCTTCATGTCTCAAGTTCTTATTTTGTTCATAATTTCATATGTTATATGTGTATTGCAATAGCTAGTATACGTGTCATGAAGTGACACAAAAGCATCGCCTAGGGGATCTGATTCTGGCGTTTTTGTCACTATTTATATTCTATGAGTTCATAGTATTTATCCTTGTATTCTACAAAGAGTGATGACATCTCCATCTACACTTACCGCCCACCAAGGTCATCATCCTCCCCTCCCCATCCCCAAAAGCTGTTGGAATATCCATTAACTTTTTTAAATTCATCTTTCTGAAATGCTACGACACCTCCAAAGGCATTCTTATATGGCAAGCTGAAATCAGAGTAAACATTCATTAAGCGACATAATTTTTTAGATTAACCCAAAGGTATTCTCAATACTTTGCTTTGTTATATCAATTTGGCGAAACAAGGTATAGAAGGTATAGTAACACATAGCCTAAGTAACTTTTTCAGATATGATCGAGTTAAAACTGAAAAAGTTTTCGTACGAAAATGCATTACAACTTAGCTTAGGAACTAAAGAAGCTTTTCTCCTAATATTTTGATTAACACTGGGATAACCACTCGATTGCGTATCAAAACGTTCTCACACTCGTACGTTACTAGTAGGGTCGCTTATGGTTCATACATAGGCATACGTTGATACATATTCTAGATAATATGGTATTTTCTAAGTTGCATTGTCACTATATTTTGGTTAAACCCAAAATGAATAAAAATGAATTGCAATAGTTGTAACAAAAGCACAGAATCTATAATCTATCACATTTGATTAATGAAAAGATTCATCTAAAAACTTCTAAAATGGTTAAGGAAAAACAGATGGCCACCCAAAGGTCAATTTGCAGGACATGGTAGTCTGCAAATTGTGTACGAATTTTAGTGAAGAAAATCCAATGAGTCGTCTAAAAATTTCTAAGATATCTACCTAGTTCTCCATGTGACCCGATAGAAAGCTTAACATTGATCGCTATAATGATGGCACAAGTCGAGATGTTCCTTAAATATTTTTTTGTATATCAGAATTTTACTCTAGCTTTCAAATATGTCATCAGACTATGATAATACTGAAAATTAAAAAAGTTATTAAAGAAAAAGTGACCATTGAACTTTTCTGTCCGGGCTACTATTATATGAGAATTGACAAATTCAAAAATGCATGTCAAAAAATCTAATATCAATGAAAAAGCCACTTATTTCAGTCTGAAGGAAGCTGTTTTTTCTAAGCAGAATTGCTTTTATTTTTCCATCGATATCGCCTTCGATGACATAATTATCCCATCCTTTAATGTTGGATGTAGTGCATTTTTGTTATTGACAGTAATATGACTCCAACTCTTGCCCTTCATAATCCCCTCATAATTGATCTTTCACCCAAAACAGAGAACAATGAAACAAATCAATAAACCCGACACGCTGTTCTTGAGACTAAAACAGATTGACAGATTCAATCACCCGATAGTAGGCACAAATTCTATGAAGTCTCATTGCGCAGCTCTGATATTGAATTTTTTGACATGCATTTTTGACTTCTCAAAATTCATTTTCATTCGTTGCGTACCTCACTACTTCTCTGACGATTGTAAAACTACCGGGGCAAACCGGATCTCAGAAATCTTGAGAAAATCCCATCGACAATAACAAATCAGTAAGTAATACTGAATCAATATCGAATATGACAAAATCTTATGTTCTGCTTATTCCAGGCATTATTGTACCTAATACCTAAATCTGGGACTAAATCTCTGTAAAGATTTATTTTATTATAGAAATGTATCATAGTTAGTGATAAGTCATGTAATTATCATGCAAGAGACACAAAAATGTGTATTTTTAAAAGTAGGTCACATTTGCTCCCAATTTAAAGATCTGCATGAGAGAAAAATTGAGGTACGATTGATCTGAAAGAAATGCTAGGAGATTTTTAAATTTGAAAATTCTCACCTAATATGTAATCGAGCTCTTTGATATTTGTACAACTTGCTAATGATACCCGATTGCGATTGCTGAGAAAACACTTTCAAAAGCGATTCATTTTTAGGACATCCGATGTCAGCCCAAGAATCACATTGTTTCCTAGGTAACACATATATATGTATTTCATAATTGAGTGGGTTTGGGGTAGATATCACCCGGGAATATATATCATATCTGAGGAGCGGGCAGGATATATTGTATATGTCCCGCTCTAGGCCAAATGCGGGCAGATATAATATATCCATCCCGCTCCCGGGAATTTTTTCAAAAGTTTAAAAAAGTTTAAAAAGTTTAAAAATTTAAATTTTAGAAGTTTAAAATTTTTCAAAAAGTTTAAATGTTACAATTCTATTGTATTGAACTGAAGGAATATTATGAAAATGTTAAATATAAATTGTGCTTTTTATACAGTATAGGCCTATCTTGTCATTTGAAAAAGGTGGTAAAGGTTATATCTACCCCAAACCCACTCAAGTATGAGATACACCAGTTATGTACGGTCGGTTTTGGATACAGTGTTTATCCCGCGGGGTATATGTGTATCTCCCTCGGTCGCTGCGGTCCCTCGTGAGATACACATATTTCCCTTGGGATAAACCCTGTATCCAAAACCTCCCAGTACATAACCCTTATTTATCCCATACTTGGACGTGTTACGGGTACATAAAGCCGGTTTGTCAAAACTTATATTTTCATCAGCGGGCAGATATAGCTTTACGTTCCGCTCCGAGCGGGCAGATATAGTATATCTGCCTGCTACGTCATAATCACTGTTCCCGTATTGGTTCTTTTTTTGTAACGTTCGCATTAGTCTACATACTGTAAATTGACAGTGCAGAAAAACGCAGATAATCGCCGGATCTGTTTGATGCTTTAAAGAAGGGAAGGAGCAGTATACCCCGTTAATAATCAAAGATTTGAACAGGAAAAGAAACAAGAATACAAAACTGGACATGAATATTTTAAAATAATTCTACGGTTGGTTGCAAAGTTTCTGAACTTTGGCCAATTGAACAATGTGATTGGTATGGGATAAACAGATCATCCTATAGTCTGTTCAGGATATTTGGATTATTCCTTGGCCAATATACAGGGTGTCAAATAAGTCCCGTCCCCCCTCTACAGCCAAAACCAAGATATTTGGTACCATTGAAAAGGTCTTCCAAAGTTACGTTGATTGGCATATATATGACATATGTCAATTAATCTCACAAAGGACCTTATACACCTAGGGTGGTCCAAAATATGGCGAAAAACCAACTTTCTTTCGGATCATCTTCCTCATTTGACTTACTGTTGTCCATGACCTAAAACACCTGCACACCAAATTTTGAGACCCAAATCCCATGGGAAATTTACCCACGCTTCGACTGAAAGATTCAGTTATTTCATGATTTTTTGCTATTTTCGATAAATTGCCATCTCCTTTTTCCTGGTGTAAAATGTTTCTATTTTTTCATAATAAACATTTTTGTAGGACCCTTTATTACTTCATAATACTAGGAACCCATACACCAAATGTTGAGACAACAGTAAGTGAAATGAGGAAGATGATCTGAAACAAAGTTGGTTTTTCGCCATATTTTGGACCACCCTATTATACACCCTCCATTGGGATCTCCCCATGGGAAAAAAATAATTCATCTGATTTTTCAAAATGAGTATTCTGCTTCAATTATTACATTTATATGCACACTAGTATCTTGTTGACCTATATCCAGCACTGTATTGGTGTATAGGCCACTTATTAGGGTCATAATTCAATCATGAAGTGTAGAGGCATAGATTCCAAACCAGGAAGTATTTTTGTGTCTGTCAAAATCCATTTACATCCTACGCATCCCTGCATCTTATCCAAATATGTTACTACATAATGAAATATAAGAGTATAATCTTTGGTTTTACAAACTTGTATGATATTTGATAAGTGTAAAAGTTGTTTTTGGAGCATTTTTCTATAGCCATTTTGTAGGGGAAAAAATGATGAAAAATGTACAATCTTTTAATTTTAAGTATGACCTGAATCGATTGCAAACTTCATATTTGCACATTTGATGAGATAAACCATTTGTGCCGTATTGTGAAATTATTAAGTTTGCAATCGATTCAGGTCATAGTGTATTTTTGGTATTTCTGTGATAATCAATGGAAACCAATGGCCTCTATTGGGATCTGCTGATATCCTCATGTTAAGTCAATGGTGCACAGCCTCATGTAAGTCAATACAACCTTACTGAACGGAATGATCCCTATCTCCGCTTATGTGTGTCCGAGCACTTTAATATTTTCCAAAGTATTATATGACATTTTATTCTTCATGTTACACCTACGAATGATTCATTTTGACCATAGGGATATTTGCCAATAATTGCACCTTGTCCTTTTTACATTGTATCAGTTAAGGAGACCATAGGCCTAGAAACATGGCAATTTGGCGTATTTGGCAGGATTTTAAGAATCAGATATAAGAAAGGTCAAAGGGCCAAAACTTGATTAAACATGTATATGGCAATGAATTTAACCAATTTCTGGATAGGGTCAGATGTGTAGAAAATAGAGGTGCACGGAAAGTGGTGAAAACCTTTTTGTAACAAGTGGAATGCGAAAACGATTAACTTTTTGACATATTTCTGAGGTCATATCCTTGTCATTTTGACGCAAAAAAGCTGCTTAAAGGAGGGTACGTTAGCCATAAAGGACATGATAAATATAGGTCAATTTCATCCAAAGTACTTGATAGTTGGTGAGTTAACAAAACTTTGAATGATCTTGCCAATGGTATATCACACTAGGCACCATATATTAAGGTTTTAGCTGTAGCAGGGGGGACGGGACCTACGGCCCTCGGGCAGGTATATTATATTGGCCTCGGGATAATCCCAATATCCTGAACCTCATATAGGATAATCTCTATGTATATGAAGTATACATATACCTGCACCCACGGGGGAAAAGTGCATGGAAAGACTATACTATTGCGAAAATAATTTTGACTTTATGGCTGTCACTTGTTGTTGATAGCCACTAGCTATATATTAAGTTCAATCGTTTATAAGTTGGCATTTTGCTTGCTGCCTAATTTGGGCATGGTTTTTCGAGTAAATGAATCAAACGTCTCTTATTGTAAATATTTCATTTATGACGCTGATCAATTCTTTAGTCATGTATACTTTTGACCTTTGACATAGATGTAGTTAGTTCAAATATTATAGATATTATTGAGTTATTTTCTGTTGCTTTTAAATCACAAATTGTTTAGGTCAAGGGGTTGTCATTACATATAATTTCAAATGTTTCATTCATCAAATTTCCTTTTTATAATGTGTGTAATAT